GAAGTGAATTGAGATATTTGCACCAAAATTGACACACATATGTATGGGGTCACTCTGAGGACACATAAAAAAAAATTGTGGGACTGAGCCTCTTGGTGGCGCTATAATAGAACAAAACGTGAAATTCCCATTGACTTCAATAGAGTTTTGTGAATTAAAATTCTATACTAAACCAATGCATTGGTGTAATATTACAAAACTCAGTGTGTGCCATAAGCAGCATGCCCTGAAGGTACTCAAAAGATTTTGAGACAGCGCCACCTGTTGGTCAAAAGTTATAATTAATTTCTGAGAACGCTAATAACTTTTGAATAAATTTGCCTATTGCAATGAAACTGATCTTAATAGATTCCTTCGGTTATGCTGAAAACATAGATATCAGGTTTTCCATAATCAGACAAACGTCCTGTTCGCCATCTTTATTTCTTTGAAAAACCTTCTTTTTCGAACTCCTCCTAGACCGTTTGTCCGATTTTCATGAAAATTGAATCGTATCATCTCCAGACCGTGCCGACTAAAAGTTATGAATTGCACGATGATAGACAAAACCGTTTTTGTATACCACAGCATCAAAATTTAGGCATGCTGCCAAAATTTCTATTTAGGCTTTATCTCTGCAATGCCTTCACATTTTGACACCAAACTGTGCATGTGTCATTGTCACCTCACTCTGACCACATCCCATCTATTTCGTAACTGCGCCACCTATTGTTCGAAAGTGATAACCCATTAAATCATCTTATAAGTTAATGTTTATGTGATTTTCTTAGCCATTTGCCCAAAGTTCTCTCGAAATGCCCTTAATTGCTCCTTGCTGCAGTTGGTCTGCCACTCCTTGCCATTTTGGCATATGTTGCCGCTTATTGCGCTTGGCCCCGGTAATGGCTGCTTGCAGCTATATTTTCATTTGTATTTTTATTTCACAGTTTTAGATGCCTCATCCAGCATGCTGATGCTTGTACATTTAAGTTGAAAAGCTAAAAAGAAAAACCCAAATATTATTCCTTCTACGGCGATTTGTAGAAGGAATTATAACATTATTGCATTATAACATTATAACACCTGGGTGTTATAATGTTAGTTATAGTTAAAGAGTTTAATGATTATTGTGTAAATAGGTCATAATTTAGCAAAGAAAATTGTACCCATTCCAAACTATGGAATGGAAATTGCGGTTACATATGAAAGTCTAAATTCATTTTTTTTTAAACCCAAATAAAGATGAAATATTGAAAATAGTGAAAGACTGTTGAATAAAAAGTCAATTGATAATGATGGTTTTATAGTTTGTGTTTATAGTTAAAAATATTATTGAAAATGTTATTTATCCATTTATATTTGCAATCAATCTTTTAAAACTGGTATATTCCCAACTCAAATGAAAATATCAAAAGTTCTTCCATTGTACAAAGGGGGCGACCTATTTCTCTGTTGTCACAATTTTCAAAAATATTACAGAAATTATTTGTTAAAAGATTAGCTATGTTGAAGTAAATAATATAATGAATGATTATCAGTTTGGTTTCAGAGCTCATAGGTCAACTACAATGGCAGTTGTTAAAATGGTAGAAAATATATCACAATCAGTAGATAAAAAATTACATACAATTGGAGTTTTTTTGGATTTACAGAAAGCTTTTGACACCATCGATCACAGAATATTATTATATAAACTGAAAAAATATGGATTTAGGGGAATTGTATATTCTTGGTTAGAAAATTATTTAACAGACCATTTTCAGTATGTTGATGTAAATGGAGTTGCGTCCTGCTTTCAGAGAATTAATTGTGGCGTTCCGCAAGGCTCTGTTTTGGGCCCCAAGTTATTTTTGTTATATATAAACGATATTTGCAAAGTGTTATATTATATTTTTCTGTTGGTCTAATTAGATATAAGCGCAACTTAATGACATTTATATCTGATATGTTTGCATAATGTGTCCACACACAGTAGTTATTCTTTATTTAGTTGTTCTTTGCTGTACTTTATCACATTACAGCATGATATACACTAATGCTCAAAACATTGGAATAGGCCTAATTCATATTTTTTGTTAGTGTTTTTGAAGGTTATGCTCATCCAAGGCTGCATTTAGGCTATTTTGGTCAAATAATACAGTAATATTGTTGTAGAATTACAGTTCTTTTCAATTGTGATAAAATTTCACAATATTATTTTATTATTTGACCAAATAGCCTAAATGCATGTATATTAAACTGTAATTTATTCCTGTGATCAAAGGTGAATTTTCAGCATCATTTCTCCAGTCTTCAGTGTCACATGATGATCCTTCTAATATGCTGATATGCTGCTCAACATTTACATTTATGTATTTAGCAGACATTTTTATCCAAAGCTAAGAACAAAGCGTTCATCAAGGAGTCAACAATTGCTGTAGAAGGCCTACACAATGCCAGGTTTATTACACAAGCCGATTTAAGGCTAGTCTGGGCCTTCAGTGAAAAGACGCAGTGTCAGACTAAACTGTGCTTGCTCTGACCCACCTCAGCCCCTAATATCAATACTTTTTTGCTGTGTAAATGGGTCAATGACGTATAAGGCCTTTGAGAGGCCCATTTTTTAAATACTTGAAATAATAATATATTTGTCTATTTTCTAAACATGTGGAGTGTAGTCTACACATGCATGTGTGTGAAAACTTCAAACAAAGATATTTTAGTGCTTTTAAACTCAAATGAATAGGGTAATGACCTTAAAAAAGTCATTTGGGGCGACCGTAATTTATCTTATAATTAATAGATTTCCTTTGCATAAGTTATATTTTAAGAAGTATCAGTAATTAATTGAACTGTTTAAGAAAGATATACTCATGTGTCCTTTCATTTATTGCAAATGATGTTAAATACATTTTTATCTATAATGGCAGTGTCACCCTCATAATGCAATTACATATTTTGTTTACTCATATAATCCATAAAACTGATTTAAAATGTGTAGATATAGTATCCGCTTATTGATGTTATACCAATGAATTATATTTCAACCAAAATGGACAGATATTATTTTTTGAATTTACTGCAGAATTGAATATAGTTGGTTACCCCACATGACAAATGGTCGCCCCACATGATGAAAAACAGCAGGCAATTAAGACTATTCAATGATTTTGATAGTTAAAACACATTTAATGGAATTTTATGAAGAATCAGCATATTTAATGAAATTTTATGAAGAATCAGCATATCCATTTCATTTGACACATTTCATAACATTAACAGTTTTCTCACTATTTCATTTGACACAAAACCATCATATTAAAATGTTCAATACTAATGCATTAAACGCTTGGACATAACATTGAACAGCATTTTCCTTTTTCATTTTCATTCCATTAATCACTTAAACATACAATGTTTGCATTTTCATTACTATTTTCATTTAACAGTTGAATATAGCAGCATTCTGCAGACACATTGAACAGCATTTTCCGCTGCCTGTAGCGAGCAGTCTTTTCTTTGCTTGTTAGTGGGGCCATCTAGAAAAAAAAGTATATTTAAACATACACAGAGTTAGAAAAAGAATTGGAAAAAGTAGAATGAATGCTTAATATTCACACATTTCTTTGATAAAAAACATAATAATCAAAAAGAAGTAAGCTTAGTCCTCTCTGAAGTAGCAGGGAAATTATTGAAATTTAGAAAAAATATGTGGTGAAATTTAGAAAGTTATTTAAAACAACTAAATGCATATAATGAATGTAAACATTTGCATACAGAAACTACAAATACATGATATGTGTTTTCTATCATTTAAGCAATCAGTGGCGGTCGCCCCACATGATGCTTGGTCGCCCCAGATGATATTTTCAAGTTTAATCAAGTATAACAGGCTAATGCTTAGCTATAGAGCCCAAGTTAGCTTCTTCTAACCACATATCACTGACAAATTTACAATTTACAAATTTAAAAATAAAGATTTGCGTATAAAACGTATAATTTACTGTTTTAGGTTGGTCGCCCCACATGATATCAAAATGTGACGTATACACTGCAGCAGTTTTAAAGAGGATTTGTTTGTAAAAATGAGAGTGGCTACTCACCTGCTAGTTGTCTCTGTGGGACCCTCAACATGAGGCTGGCTGATGCAACATCCTCTTTGAGATGATTATCAGAATATAAGTCCCTTATTTGTATTTTCTTGATGGTCGCCCCAGATGATATTTCAGATAATGAACATCTTCGGACAAGATTTGTTTGTTTATTATGATTGAAATGTGTGTACAAATGTTTCATAACTTTGTCAATCAATGGAAAACAAGTTTAAAATTATGCCAAATAGGGTAAGGATTATATTTAAATTATTTTAGTTTGATTTAAAACCAGTTGTCCAAACAGAAGTCAAGGCCGGACGGTCGCCCCACATGATGTTTTCACACTTCAGGTGGCAGAAAGTGCCAATAAACCAATTATTTTTAGAGAAATAAGAGTGGGCATATGTATAAGGGAGGTGGTAGACATACATGTTATAATTTTATTAATTTTAATGTTTATTAATTGGTAAAAAGTTCAGTCGGACAGAAAAAGCAAGCGTCACGTCATTGACCCAAATGCATTAATGCCACCTCTGAGCAGCGTTAAACAACTCTTTAGACAACTAGATCAGAAAACCATAGAGAGGAGAAGAAAGCAGGTGTGTGTGTGTGTGTGAGAGGGATGCATTAGTGGTGGGTTGAGCTGTTCCAGTGGTGGTCCTGAAAGCCAATGTATGTTATAACTTCACATCACTCTTAAGGCCTGTTCACACCAAGGACAATAACGATAAAGATACATTTTCAAAAATATTTCGAAGAATAGCCAACATGACATCATGACTTTTGCGTAAACATATACGCCACTTTCGAGTCAGGTGACGTGTTATCTCCACGCATTTTGTGCTATCCGCGTGTATGCGTATATGTCTACGCCATTAACGTCCGCGTCATTCCGCGTGTCCGAACACGCAGTCAAATCTCCAGTCATAAATGCCATTAACCCCAGTGACGGTTAAGTTTAGGGATGGGGTTGAGGTAAGTCATATCTTTTTTTTACCTATGATGGTAAGGGAACAGTCATAAATGCCATTAACCCCAGTGACGGTTAGGTTTAGGGACGGGGTTGAGGTAAGTCATATATTTATATAACGTTAAGTCAACGGCGTTCATAAACACGCTGAAAGGCGATTATGCGTCTTGATAGCACGCCAAAAATGGAAATACGAATTGGCGTCTCATACACACGCTACAGGGGTTGGACAATAAAACTGAAACACTGGCCAATGTTGGAGGTTTCACATCTATATGCCTGGCGGCCAATCTTCAGAGTGAAGCACGGGTGGATCAGTGATGGTTTGAGCTCCAATATCATGACAATCCTGATTGTATTTGATGGACACGACACTGCCGAGGACTACCAAACCCTTCTGGAGGATCATGAGCACCTGATGCTCAAACCGTGTATCAGCATGATCATGCACCAACACACACATCAAGACTTGTGACAGAAGGGTTTGATGAAGATGAAAGTGACGTTGAACATCTCCCATGGTCTGACAGTCACCAGATCTGAATATTATTGAGGTGTTTTGGAGGAGCGAGTCCACCAGCATCATATAGTGACCTGGACACTGTTCTGGAAGAGGAACGGCTCATAATCCCTCTGGTCACTGTGAAGGACTTCTATCTGTCAATTGGTGCTGTATTTGGATGCAAAATGAGGCCCTCACCATTCTAACAAATTATTGTGTAGTAAAACCAGGTGTTTCAGTTTTTTTGTCCAACCCCTGTACTTCATGAGATCAGTCTGGAATAGCAGAGTTCACAGCTATAGCAATAACGAAACAGAGTGAAATTATATTGTTCGGATCACTCTTGGAAAGTTTTTCCAAAAGTCACTTTTTTTCCCTGCTGTTGACCGATAAAACACTGACAGCCAGTCAGAATCTATTCTAATTTAATTAGAATGCTCGCGCATTTAAAATGGCAGACGACATTGCAGAGAAGTTAATCACACAGGTCTGGATCATCTGCAAAGGTTGAGGGGTGCTGGTGGGAATGCAGTGCAGTCGGCCCAGTCTAGGGATTGGCAACAATTAATCACGATTAATCGCATCCAAAATAAAAGTTTTTGTTTACATAATATATGTGTGTGTGTAGTGTGTATAATTAATTTGTATATATAAATACACACACATGCATGTATATATTTAAGAAATATTTGCATGTATATACTTTATATATATTTATACATAATGTATAAATATATATAAAGTATATACATGCAATTTAATTAATATTATATATTAATATTTGATATATTAATAATAACACATTTTTCTTAAATATATACATGCATGTGTGGGTATTTATATATACAAATTAATTGTACACACTACACACACATATATTATGTAAACACAAACTTTTATTTCGGATGCGATTAATCGCGATTAATCGTTACCCATCCCTAGTCCAGTCTGAACTTGTCACAGTCTGTCGTCCTCACCTGTTTGGTCCCGTCATCTGCACCACACTTCCCCGGATCCTTTTGTTCCTCTCCCGGACTCACTTCCCCAATCAGCCACCTGTTCCTCGTCCTGTCATGATCATTTTCACCTGTGTTCACCCCAATCAACCCTGATTCCTCTGTGTATTTAGTTTCCTCTGTTTCATTCTGTCCTTGTCGGTCAATGTTTGGTGTTACGGAGTATTCCCGTCTTCCTGTCTGGATTTATTTAATAAATCAACATTATTCGTGATTCTGAACTCTGCCCGTTCTTCTGCCTGAACCCGCACCGTGACAGATTGACCGACCCCAAATATGGATTCCTTTGCAGCAGTGGCACTGCTGTGTTTGGAGCAGGAAGATCGTTCCTTGGAGGACCATCTGGAGGATTTCCTCAACCTCGTCCCCTCTACCACCTTCCCGGACGACAGCCTCTGCAGCTTTTTATATGCTGGCCTCAACACCGCCACCAGAGAGCAGTTGTCCGGGGAGGGCTGCCAGTTGAGCTTCGCGGCTTATGTGGAGTGGGTGCTGGTAAGCTGTGGATCATCTTTCACCGTCGATGACGTCACCAGCCCCACTCCAACACCGGAGCCCGAGACCGTCCAGCCAGAGCCAGAGCCCGAGACCGTCCAGCCAGAGCCAGAGCCCGAGACCGTCCAGCCAGAGCCAGAGCCCGAGACCGTCCAGCCAGAGCCAGAGCCCGAGACCGTCCAGCCAGAGCCAGAGCCCGAGACCGTCCAGCCAGAGCCAGAGCCCGAGACCGTCCAGCCAGAGCCAGAGCCCGAGACCGTCCAGCCAGAGCCCGAGACCAGGATCCCACCCAGCCTCCCTCTCCCGCCTCCTCTCATCTGTCCTCCCTCTGCTCTCCTGCCCTCCAGCTCCCCTGACCCAGCCTGGTCCTTGGATCCCCGGTCTGCGCTTCACACCTCCTCCTCTGAGACACTTCCTCGGCCCTCTGTCTCATCAGCTCCCCCGTGGCTCCTACCTCCCTCAGCTCCTCCATGGTCCCACAGTCCACCAGCTCGGCCAGGCTCCCTCGTCCCTCCGAACTCCCTGCACTCCCTCGTCATCCTCCCTTCACCTTTGGACTTCCTTCCCTTGGCTCCGCCCCGTCATGTCACCCCCCGGTTCAGTTGGACTCCTCACTCCCTCCAGTCACCCGTCAGCCCTCACGCACTCTGACCTCACCGTGTCCCTCTGTGCCCCTGTCAGCACTTCGGTCACCAGAGCCTGCGGTGTCCCCTTGCTCCCTCGGTCCCTCCTCAGCACCCATCATCGTCGGTCCCTCAGCTACACCCTGGTCTCCTCTCCCATCCGCTCCGCCCCTGTCAGTCGGCCCCCTGGTGTTGCCAGCCCCACTACCATCGGCTCCACCAGGGGTCCTCCCTCCAGCTACTCCGCCCTGGTCTCGCCCTCAGCCTGCTCCGCCCTGGTCTCACCCTCAGCCTGCTCCGCCCTGGTCTCGCCCTCAGCCTACTCCGCCCTGGTCTCGCCCTCAGCCTGCTCCGCCCTGGTCTCACCCTCAGCCTGCTCCGCCCTGGTCTCGCCCTCAGCCTGCTCCGCCCTGGTCTCACCCTCAGCCTGCTCCGCCCTGGTCTCGCCCTCAGCCTGCTCCGCCTTGGCCACGCCCTCAGCCTGCTCCGCCCTGGCCACGCCCTCAGCCTGCTTTGCCCTGGGGAAGCCCTCAGCCTGCTCCGCCCTGGGGACGCCCTCAGCCTGCTCCGCCCTGGCCACGCCCTCAGTTTGCTCCGCCCTGGCCTCGCCCTCATCCTGCTCCGCCCTGGGGGCTGTCTCCTCCTGACGACGCCCTCCACAGCCTCCAGGGTGCCCCCCCCCCTCCCCATTGATGTTATGGCGTGAGGCCACGCCTTCCGGGAGGGGGGAGTAATGTCACAGTCTGTCGTCCTCACCTGTTTGGTCCCGTCATCTGCACCACACTTCCCCGGATCCTTTTGTTCCTCTCCCGGACTCACTTCCCCAATCAGCCACCTGTTCCTCGTCCTGTCATGATCATTTTCACCTGTGTTCACCCCAATCAACCCTGATTCCTCTGTGTATTTAGTTTCCTCTGTTTCATTCTGTCCTTGTCGGTCAATGTTTGGTGTTACGGAGTATTCCCGTCTTCCTGTCTGGATTTATTTAATAAATCAACATTATTCGTGATTCTGAACTCTGCCCGTTCTTCTGCCTGAACCCGCACCGTGACAGAACTACAAGTGCTTGGACGAGTGCCTGAGATTCATGAGTGCAAGTAAAGGACCATGAGGGCAAGTAAAGGGTGACAGAATGACCATTAAGAATATTACACACACACACACAAACACACTGATATTTCAAGTGTAATTTTGGGCTGGAGAATCTCAATACCCGCTTCACAACCTTCAGCCCACATGTTTGCGTTGACCTGTGAATAGATGTTGGAAGCCAGCGCTTTACACAGTGTCATATTTTCCATGACCGTGATGTTTGATTATCTGCTTAATCCGTCGCACCCCTGAAATCAAACCACCAATGCTTTTCCATCAGATGGACAAGCATTCAAATATTCAAGACTTGCATTCTCTCTGCTTAATTGTGTTTTATGGCTCGGCTCCAGGGCCATCTGCAGTGTGTGTTGCAGGCACTCGTACCACAGGTCATTACATCAGGGTTCCTGAAACGCTGCCACTGGCCTGTAGCCGCTTTACGGAAGTGCCCAAACTTTAAGTTGGTGAACCTAATGCTACGTTAACACCAGACGCGAATAGCACGTCAGGCGCGAATGATTTCAATGTTAAGTCAATGCAAAGATGCGTTACGCTCATAAAAAATTCCTGCGGCGCGAATGAGACGTAGAGTGCGGCAGACGCGAACTAAACTCTTAGGCTTAGTTCATCGGTCCGCCTTGGGGATTGGTATCCTCGGGGTCCCTCAGGGTTTCATTCTTGGGCCTTTTCTATACTACCTTTAGGGTCTATTTTTAGGAAATGTCTCTCACTCTGTTTTCAACTTTATCTACCTTTCAAACACCACAGCACCACTGTCACTGTTGGACTGCCTTGAGGATGTTAGAGCCTGGATGGCCTC